AATTGTCTGCAAATGCAATACAATGTTGGTACTAATTACGATTTCAATTCCCTGCGATTCAAACAGATTAAATTGGAATTTCATCTCCACGCCCGCCATTATGGTGAACAGAGTGTCGCGTTCAGGTGAAGATGACACTATGAATCGATGGAACGGGGACAAATTTCGCACGCATGTTCGGATGCACAGCCGTCAACGAGGGGACAAGACAGAAATGAGGCGGAAGGCGTGTAATTAAGTCGTTGCGAAACTATTGTAAATAAGCGTCGCATGCTCAGAGCGAAAAAACTCCACGCAATTATCCCTCGCGTCGACTAACTAACCACAATGATTGCTCGTTGCAACAGCTTTTTAGTGCAACGATTCATTTTTCTTTCTCATTCAACGTTATCAAATACAATTTACCAACAACAATGAATTTTGTATTCATTAAATTCGTGGGACCGCAAAATAATTTTTACAATACCATATACATATTTATTAGAACTCGCTGGTAGATTTTCATTAATAATACGAAAGTTATGCTAATAATATAAAGTTTGATCTAAAATAACTCGTTAACGTACACATTTTTTTTCTACCGTCTGTTTTTTAATTTCACAACTTTATCGCCATAATGCAATTTAAATTGTTTAATCGAAGTACAATTAAATATCGTATGTATGCGGTACATTCAAAGAATTATAAATAATCGAGTATATGCACGAACATGTCCTGAATGTTTATTTTTACATAAAAGACAACGTACAAATGATCTAGAATTAATATCAGCCTACAGAAATCGATAATTTGTTACAACAAATTTTAACGTTGACACGTTGTATGCAATGCAATTTTTATTTTAACGAGCACAAGACAACGGAATCTATTTAATAATTACTCCCAATAATTACTCACAACAGCGACCAATAATTCCCATTAATTTCCCAATAATGATTATTTGAGAGTCCGGTTTCAAATAATCGTGTCCAAACGCGTTGTCTCGCGAAACGTAACACCGAGAAAGCTAATTACGTCAAGACCAGCAAATTATGCATTCCTATGGCGTACTTCTAATGAAGATGTGCCCGTGCGAATTCAAATGTATGCCAATTTTTTTCCTGAATTTTCACACGCACCGACAGAATTAAGTACGTATACGCGGCGACTAAATAAAACGGAGAAAGTGTTGCCATACACACAGAACTCGTTAGAATCCCGAAGAAAATGGGGAAAATCATGAGTGGAATTTCGGTGCGACACCATTTCCCATTGGAAACGTGCCAAGACGTCGTGTAACGAACAAAATCAATTTTTTCGTTATCAAAGTGCACATTAAAATAAATTATTGAAACACGTTGCGATCAAGATCGAATTTTTATTTATTAGCCAGCGAATGTTAAATTAAATTATATGTGGAAATTTAATGGATTCGTAGTGATATATATTAAAATATATAACTAATACGCGTTGTATTATTAGTTATATTATTGT